TCCTGGTCACACTGATGGTCTCGTGGGAATGCAATTGAACCTCCGGGAGACCGGAACATTCTTTTTTATCAGTGACCACTGTCACGTAATTGAAAATGTTAGTAGAATTCATCCTCATTCTGGTCAATGTTATAATCTGTTAACAACATGATAGTGGCGAGATGGAGTACCTCAAGGATGGCTAGCACGGTATGAAATGCTTGACACCACTGAAAGAGAAAAGGGAAGCTAATATGAAGTTACAGTGATCATCCAGCTTGGTTCCAAAGTACCCAGCGTTTGAAACGGTTGGAATCTACAACCAAAGGTCGAGTGATACCAGGGCATGATAAAGGAACGTTTCTCCAACTTCAAGGTGAGATAAATGATGGGAAAGGTTATCTAGAATAGCAAATGACGATGTGTATGACTATGTGGTGAGGTTTCATCAGGAATACACATAATTGTTACCTTTGCTTCCGAAAAGATCAACAATCTGAAATGCAGGGCAAAAACTAAAAATCTTGGGCAAAGTAAGATCTTTCTTAACATTGAAACTGTTTCAAATTTTGAGACAGTCCCGGTTGTTAGGTTGATTCGTAATAATCACCTCATCGAAGTGACTCAAATACTGTTAAAACCCTTGAACTAAAATCTTAATCACATATGGTTAGATGTCCTTACATATCCTTACATGAGCCAAGGAAGATACACTTCGCAATGCCCGAGCCAGCACTTGTCTCCTCACAATAAAAAATACGATGAATTCTGCGACGTACTTCTATGTTGAAAGACACCAAACCTAAACTCTTGAACTCTATCACATCAGACATTCTATGGTTCGAAGAAACTTTTATCAGGACTTCCTGTTGTATTTTCAGAGAAATTGAACGAGCCAGAGAGGATTCGGATTATGTATACCACTTTGATACCCTATGATGTCCCCTGCAGAGCCGCAAAGCAACTGAGAAGAGGAAACCTTCGACAAGCACCCATAACCATGGATGGAAGGATGACATTGTTAAGTGGATGTTGAGAGCATGGCTGAGGGTTCAACCGTATGGTATTCGGGCTGACAGTTTGTTGAGATACGAGATGAGATAGGTGCAAGTGATGTCTAAACCACAAAGGTACCACCGCCTACAAAGCGACTTTTGCGATAAATTCGAGATTCGGGCAGTACTGCTGCGGAAATCTGAGAGAAAGAATATGAGAAAATGGTCCGAATAAAATATTCATAAAGTAAAATTAATTTGAAAATTAACTGTCTGGTCTCTAGTAAGATTTGAGAATTGAACCGCTTGGTATCAGTATCGATTCCACAAGTTTCCTTCTGCATTTTGTAGAAGTGCCTCGAAATTTCGATGATGCAGTTTGACTGGAGTCGTTCGCGCTGTCGATGATAAACGAAAATGACGTGTAAAGGATGATTTCATCTGATCTCTGCACACGACAGACTTCAAGACCTCTCCATCCTACACACCTCCTATCGCTCTCCCACCTATTGAGAAATATGTGACTGATACGTAGAAGTCTGGGTCGCCTTCCATGTGATTGCGTCCATGACCTACAGTGGAGAGCAAATGCGAAATGAAGCGAAAAGCAATTGAACCTCGTGACAGCTAGATGCAAAGCGTGGAGACTGGAGGCCGCCACAGTTACCTGTCTCGGTCATCTGGGGCAAATGCGCATGGCCTGCATTGGGACAGAATTTTGAGTTTAGGAAGAGAAGAGAGAGGTGACTCTGAATCACATTTCCTCTTCGCTACTATGATAATAATATTAAAGGAATGATAGAATGACAAGAGGAGCATGACTCCAGAACAAGAGGGGTTTGTTGACCTGCACTACGTGTGTACATCCGATGTAAGATCTCACAATTGATTGAATTCTTCTATGATTTTTTCTTATGGCCGACTTGAGGATCTTAGATACATACCTTGCACCTGCCTGAGTATGTACTATGCAATCTTACTATTATGTATATACTCTAGGATTCAGGTACAAAAGACAAGGAAGAAGTACGAAGTAGTTAGTAATTAACCTTAGTACCTCCTTGGTTTATAAGACTGTCTCGACTATAACATCCTATCAGCTCAGGGCCATTTCAACTCCAAACCTTGTACTGTAAGTCAAACATCGGAAGGTAAAAGTCTATTCGGGAAAATTTCAAGAACCAATCATTTTATTTTGATTTTCTTCTCATCATTTCACACAAATGAATAATAATGGACCATTCCAAAACCCCAAGGTGGAAGTTATGTGTATGTTCAATTAGGATTCTTGCTCAGAAGTGGTCTAAATGATGTGAGCACTTGTTATATTCATTTTATTCGAGCGAGATTTACTTTGTTTGCTCTGAGGGATTGCATGTTGAGTATGTCTAAGTACACGTACTAATCGCTTTCGGTTCCCCAGTTCAGCCCAGAATTTGCTTGGATCTTCCACACTACACACAGTACTAAGCAAAAACCTTGGAAACTTTCTTCTGATCCTTCATCATTCTTCCTCCTACTCCTTTCACCTTCTTACTACTACTACCACCTCCTTGGGAGAAAAATTTAATTTACGTTTCATTCTACTTCGTACTAGAATAAGCCCTATCAATAGCAAATGCATATCGAAAGAAATTATACAGAAATCTTTACATTCCACTGCAAGAACCTGATGCGACCATCCAAGAATCACCAAAAGCTACATCGAAATTATCGTTCCCAAATTCGAGCTGACGCTGAACGTCGCCGTGGTGCACCATGAATCAATCGCAGGCACAACAGAAACCAGCCATAACTACAATTCGAGGCTTCCAGACTCCTGCCGTTTCGGGTGATGAAGATTCTGATTATGGCTGCAATACTCCAGCACGATATAACCCGAAGATCGGCGATGTTGTCAGCGCAAATTGCAGCCCTTCATTGAAACCGTTCAAATCTCCAGGAATTGGTGGCATTAGCAGATTAAAGCTACAACTCGATACTCTCAACTTGGAGAATGAATCCAGAACAAATTCCATGGTGCGCAGCCGCCCTCAATCGCAACCACAAAGCAGTACGGCAACGACTTCCGATGACTTGAGCGATGATGAACGATCCGACAGCACGACATATGAGATACCCTTGGAACATGATTTTGTTAGTGAAAGTGTGCGGGCACAACCTATGTTCGGTGCAATTGAAGGAGGATTGATTCAGGATACGATTGCGAGAAAAATGGCCGCAGACGACTTTGAACCCTTACGATGTTTAGGCAAGGGTACGTTTGGGACTGTCATTTTGGTCAAGCAACGTACAACCGGGACATTATTCGCTCAAAAACAATTCAAGAAGGCATCCTTGACGGTCCATAAGAGATTGGTGGAGCAGACGAAGACGGAGAGAAGCATCCTCGAAAGTGTAAATCGACATCCCTTCGTCGTCAAACTATTCTACGCCTTCCAGGACCACGAAAAATTATACTTGATCTTGGAATACGCGCAAGGCGGAGAGTTATTTACCCACCTCGCACAAGAACGTATGTTTTCCGAGGAAGTCGCATCCTTTTACATGGCAGAGATGGTTTTGGCCCTGGAGCATCTCCATCGCAATCTTGGTGTCGTCTATCGCGATCTCAAACCGGAAAACTGTTTATTGGATGCCGAAGGTCATTTACTTCTCACTGATTTTGGACTCAGTAAAGTAGCTGTGGACGAAAATGATAAATGCGACTCTTTGTTAGGTACTGTTGAATATATGGCACCTGAAATTATCCTTGGACAAAAGTATGGAATGGCCGTGGATTGGTGGTCTTTTGGTGCTCTTGGGTTCGACTTATTGACTGGCAGCCCACCCTTCCAAGGTCAAAATAACAAAGTGATTCAGGACCGGATCACGAAGCAAAAACTTGCTATGCCTTACTTTTTAGGACCCGATGCCAAAGATCTGTTGACGCGCCTTCTCCGTAAGGAACCCAACAAAAGACTCGGAGCTCATATGCCCAAAGACATGGCCATCATCAAGAAACATCGATTCTTTCGTCGTATAGATTGGCAGAAGCTTGCCAAAAGAGAAGTCGATGCACCAATTCAACCATTCATAACAGATCCAGAACTTGCGGAGAACTTTGCGGAAGATTTCACGGAGCTCTCCTTGAGTCCTGTAGTTACTAGTCACAATGGTGTACCATGGAGCGCGACCTCTGCAAACGAGAACAACCCCTTTGGTGGATTTAGTTATGTTGCAAGTCAAAGTTTATTGGATTCGAATGGATTCTTGGAGATGCATCAAAATAAAGTGATAGCTTGAATCTGGTTCCTTGGGAAGAAGGGGATCATGTTCCAGTCTACAGTGACGGACGCATTTTCAACAAGTATGGTATTTCTATATGAGGAGTTGCCTTCGGACCACCGGGAGATACGCCGCATATATTGGTTATTCTGTAATCTAGAGCAATAGACTAGATGCTGGTCTATTTGGTAGATCGTATATATGTTTTCTGGCGTTTTCTTTTTCCAACGTAGATGATTAGGAAATGAGGAAAATTTGGTGGCGACTAGAGGTAGTGATTATGGATTTAATGGTTGGTGGGTGGTAATTGGGAATTTCACAGAATGGTCAATTCATAGATTGCTTGCTATTGGGGTATAGGAATGAATAATTGAAAATGACTAAGGAAAGTTTATGACCTTTGTCGAATTGTCGAAAAGCCATTTTGGAATGAATATCCTATTGTTGTGACTAAAATGTCGTCGACTCTTCCCTACGTGGATGTTGAATGTCGATTGCCATATCTAAAAGCCGCCCCACTAGCACTCACACCCGTATCTCCAGTGATTCTTTTCTCTTTCCCTTTTCTCTTCCGAACCACAGCAATTGAATCAGATCTTTGAGATATCGCGACCTAAGTTCTTCCTGATCCTTACTACCTAGGTGGGTAGATATATAGGTATAGATAATGTATTAGAATGGCATTTTGAGGTCGTGATCTTTGGGGTTTCGAGTACAATCTTCAATCACGTCATTACTTCCTGAATATCCAATCCATAAGATACCTAGCTAGTACCTACCTACATAAACACCCACCCTGACAAATACTCCAACCCTCAAACACTTACAACAATTTTACACCAATTCAACACCAACACAACACGTCAAAAGACAACCTGGGGTCTAACTACCTTGTAACTACCTTCACTAATTATTCAATCATGGTGAGTACTCAGCAACATCCCACAACTTATCTCTAATTCCTCTAATTGATCTCAGGGAGGAGGAGCTAATTTACCTCCCCAGTCAAATGACTCAAAATCAGCCGTCGAGCTTCTTATTCTCGGAGCGGGATGGACATCAACCTTTCTCATCCCACTTCTTCAACAAAGAGGAATAAAATACGCCGCTACTACTACTACAGGTCGTGATGGAACTTATAAATTTCGATTCAATCCAGAAGATGACACTGATACTCGAAAACAAATGCTTGACCTTCCAACGGCTCAGAGTATATTGATTACGTTCCCGCTGAAAGGAAAGGGGCAATCAAAATCCCTTGTGAAATTTTATCAAGATACACACTCTTTGGAATCTATCGAAAATCATGGTTCATTTGCTTCATTTCATTTCATTCAATTGGGGAGCACAGGAATTTTCACTATCCCAGGTCAAAGTACATGGGTCACACGCCATTCATCGTATGATAGTGCTGATGACCGAGCTGTCGCTGAGGATGAAATTCTTGGGTTGGGTGGATGTGTCCTGAATTTGAGTGGATTATGGGGCGGTGAAAGAAACCCAAAGCATTGGATTGAACGAGTAGCTGGTTCAAAAGAGATGCTGGGCGGTAAAAAAAGTTTGCACATGGTACATGGACTTGACGTGTCGAGAGGGGTGGTAGGAGTGATTGGAAATTGGGAAAAGGCGAGAGGCCAAAGATTCGTGAGTCTGTCGTGATACTAAATGATTCTTTACTAACTCCATCATTAGATATTGACTGATCTGATGGTCTATGATTGGTGGTCATTAATCTTGGGTTATGCGGGTGAATTAGATGCGGAAAATGGAAACGGAAAGATGGAAGGCAGGCAAATCAAATGGATTGGTGAGCTAATGAAGGAACATGATGTCAAAGCTTTACCAAGGTCAATGGATGACTTGGGAAGGTGTTATGACTCCAGGGAGTTCTGGGAAAGTTTTGAAGTCATGCCTGTAAGATCGAGGATATGACTCGGATAGTAGCTGATATGACCATATTGGTATCTTGCTGCCAGCCACGATCCATATAAAGCCGTGCCTCGTCGCCACTCAAACTGAGAGCGAACCAGACATAGAAAGAAAGTTCGTCGGCCCGATACATCATCAGGAAAAGCCTTGCAAAGTTGCGGGGAAACGAGAAGGTGGAACGAAATTTATATAAACAATACCATTTTTCATTTTCTAATCATTAGTGATTTATACATTATATCAAAGAACATCAGTGTGCTCGGACTATTTGACTTAAACATCGTTGAGAACGTGATAATCGCAAATGGGTAGGAGGGGTGGGGGTGGGTGGTAGTAGCCCACTTGCATTGCATGCGGAAATGATGACGTTGAATGAATTGAAGTTGTGCCTTTTGAATTCTGTACAAGAAAAATTAACTAATTATATGTAAGAGTAGAAGCAAAAGATCAATATGTAATAAGTCATCTTTTTAACATATTATAATCTATTTGTTATAAGAATTCTAAAACCTCCTCATTATATAAATTTCGATTTCCCTATTAAAATCATTGATTTTTCAGTTTTTAAGATTCCTATTTTTTTATTAAAACTTTATATAAAATGATTAAAAGAATTCAAAATCGATTAAAAATTACTTTAATTATATGCCACAAAAACTAGTTTATTTTTTTAAAAAAAAAATATAAAATTATAAGTTATTAAAGATAAAAATTATGAATTTTCCTAAAAAATTGTTTATTTTGTATAGGAAAAATATTACAAATTAAAAATTTAAAAAAATTTCAACTTCAAGTTTAGTTTATGTATGAAAATGTATTTTATTTGTTTGGGTTCTTGTTGTTGATAAAGGGACAGATCGAACAAGGAAATTTATACTGTCTATTCAAAGGAAGACGAAGGAAACAAAGGAACTAACATGGGGAGTCTCAGAAGAATGACAGAAGTATGTACCTTGACAAATGAAACCATAAAGGAGTGTGGTTAGCGAAACGAGCTCAGCTGTCTTTTTTTCCTTTTCTTCTCTCTTTTCGTTCTCTCACTTCACTCCCTCAAACCTTCCCCTGAAGCTCATTTTTCAAACTTCTTCATCAAATTCTGCACCTTTTCTCCGATCTTCCGGCCGACGACCTTGGCTGTGCTTGGTCGGGCTGGTGTTGAAGGTGGAGGTGGACTTTGATGTGATTCGGGTTGGGGCTGGAATGTGGCTGCGCGAGATGATTGAGCACCCGAACTGTTTGGACGAACCTTTTCGTTACCTTTCTTGTCCAAGGAGATGCGGCGCCTGTGGTAAGCCAAAGGTTGTTTGGGTGCGAAAGATTCTTTGATGACTAAGTCGAAGGCCAAACAACCACAGCACTTTTCCTCCACTCGGACACTAGGTTCTCGGAAGTAGTTTGGGCATTCAAGGGGTTTGAAGTCCTTTTTCTTACTTTTGGATTCGGCTTTAAGTTGATCGGCACACTTGCGGAATGTGGTTTTTGGCTCACAATCGCAAGTATGGATGACGGCTGAGTGTCGACACATGTTGATGTATGTTCTTTTGGGTGATCAGTAAATCTTATGTAGTAGTGTTATCAGAGTGTGATGATAGAGACTAAGATAGAGTGATACTGAGGAAAGAAGAGATAAGTAAAGATTAAAAGGATTGACTTATATACTTGAAAGTTAAACCTTGTTTAAATACTGATTGATTGCTATTCTGATGTTGTTCGAATAGTATTTTACGATTGAATCATCTTTTGACTACAACATCTTAGATATATCCGTTATCACGACGGACAATATAAAATGGAATAATAGCATTTGAACAATCAGACCTAGTTTAATGATAGTTTTAACTTTGTTCGATCTCGTACTTGTTAGAGAATGATCTCTTTGCATTAACTTCTAAGAACAGTCTTTCGATTGTAAGAAATTTCACTGATACGATGGAATGATGAAATATAAGAGTCTAGAATATCAATAACACTATTAGATTAAACTCATGGGACTAAAATTCGACTTTGAACCTGTTTAATTTATTCGAGTTCGTAAAGACGATTTTATATAAAATCATTTAATTTATTTAATTCTTATTTTTTTTAATAAATTTGCTTTTGAATATATCGTTATGTAGCTTTAAATAAGAAGATTTCAAATATAATATTCTAATTTTTATACTTTTATAGAGAGTATTGAAAAAAATCTAGAAATCGAGTTGCTGTTTAAATAATCAAAATTATTCTAAATTCAATTCAAATTAGAAATTTTTTGAAAATTGAATTATTGAGAATCTTTTAGAGAACTTTCTAGGTTTTATTATGAACTCAAGATTGAAATTAAAAGTTATAAAGTTTTTGAAATTATTTAGGAATAAAAACCAATAAAAAATTTATTTGTAGATATTTTTTGATAAAACTTTGTAACTTTCATTGTAATCAAAAAGCATAAGTTATAAAGCTTTTTAGAAAAATATTATATAATAAGTTTTAGTTTTAGATTTGATAAATCAATTGATTACGAATATATTTAAAAGTAAAATCTTATAATAAATTGACAAATTAATATTTTTATGAAAAACTTTATAACTTTCAATATAAAATCAATGATAAATGAAAAGTTATAAAGTTTTTTTGATAAAATATTAATTTATTTTAAATACTTAAGAATATTTATCGATTGGATTAACTTGAACCCTCAACTTCGCAAAACGATCTGAAAGAGAAGAAAAAGTTTCAACAAAATGAATCATCAGAGCTACACAGGTGCGTTGTATTCATTTAATAATATCAATTCAGCTTCATATGCTGATAGAACCAAGCAATCGAGGAAAACCTCATCAAATGGAGACACCACATTGGCCAAAGATTTATGCTGCAAAATGCGAATTGGAATTTAGAGGACAAGAGTCACAGTTTTGACCAAATCAAATCACTAGCAGAAAACCTCTACGCCCCGCAGATCAGGGTGTATTCGTCCTTAAAAAATGAATTCAGAAAGCTGTCGACTTATGCCGACACAACTGTTGTAGCCGGTCGCGGTAGTCCACTGGTGATGCAAAAAGAGAAATTGCAGAGGGAAAAGTTAGTCACCGTATATGTGATTTATTACCATGATGGCCAGCAAGAAGCGATAGCCCATCTGATGTCAGAGCCTGAAAGAATGGACCTTGGAAGTGCCGAGTTATGGAACGAGACATTAAGAAGGTCAAGCCTGAAGTGTTGAGGGAGTTGCTTAGCGTTAAGAGTAAAGCTGTTGTCATATAGGTACTAGGCTGCGCACAAATTATCTGTACCCATGGATTATCTGCGGATAATCCGCTTTATAGGTTATTCATTAAAGGTTCTATTTATTTTGTGGATTATTTGTTGAGGCTTTAAAATTACTTACTTTATAACGTGGTTTATCAGTGAGCGGGTTATATCAGTGAACGGGTCACTTGAAAATATATCAAAATTAAGCCTTTTTCAATATTCTTATTTTAATAATTAATTCTTATTTTGAAAATCGAAAAGAATTTTCAATAACAATAAAAAATTAGCTTTTTATAAATCTAGGTTTTTTTATAAATATTTCTATTATATTTTAAAAAAAATAGAAATTGTTACGATTTTCGTTACAAAAAAGTTAATTTTATAATAACTATTATAATAATTTAATTTTTTAATAAATAATTAGATTTTTATAATATTTATATAATTAAATTTTATTATTTTCAAATTTCTTTAAATTATATTATTATATAAAGAAAGTACACGATTACGTACAAACGAATTTTGTATATAAAATGAAGTAACTCGTTCATTGATATGACCCGCTCACTAATAAACTACGTTATAGATAATCCATAGATTATTTATAAGTAATTCATTTATTTATAAATAGATGGATTATTTGAGGATATATAGGTTATTTATGAATAATTTGTGAATTATTTATAAATAATTTATGGATATATAGATTCTCCGCTTTTTTTGTTTAAAATATGAAGCTATTTTTAGATTATTTTCTAGTTCAAAAGTGATTCAAGTTTGGATTTATATTAATTTTTATATTAATTATAAAATTATATTAATATTATAAAAGATTATGAATAGTTATATAATATACAAGTAGGTGAATATCTGTAAATAATTTGTATTCATTTTACAGGTTACTCATTCAGATTCTGAATTATCTACTCTATAGACGAATTATCCGCGGATTATCTGTCGAGGTCATTATCCGCTTCGCGAATACTCGTTACGCAGCCTAATAGGTACTTACTATCTTTATATAATAACATAGTTTATTAGTATGTGTATTATATTAGTATATACATTACTTTTACTTTAATTTATATTCTTCAATTTTAATATATGATTTATCAATTATATAATCGAATAATAAAAAAGAAAGAATATTCATAATATGAATTTCAAGCGTTTTTTTTTTAATTTTTAAAAAAAAGATATAGCGAATTATATTCTTGAATTAAAAGGAGGAAAAGTCATTAGAAAGCTTTAGATATATTGATTTATAAAATGTTATAAGAAATTAAAAACATGTTTTAATTATATTTATAATTTTTAAAGAACTTTTTATAAAAATCCTAAATTTTTAAATAATGTTTTCAATTAATTGTGAATATATAAGTGAAATATAGTATTTTGAATAAAGATTTCTATAATTTCGATGAAACCAACTTTATAATAAGGATTATATACATAATAATGATTATTATTAATATTAAAAGATATAATAAAAGTAAATCAATACAATTAAACAATTAAAAATAAACTACAATAATAATATATAAAAATAAAGGTAAAACTATTCTTTTATTTTTAATTATCTAAAAACAAATCTATTTCTTCAATTAATATATTGAAATGAATTTTTCTATGAAATAAATTATTAAATTTATATTTAATAAATAAATAAACAATAAAACAGGTTTAAAATAATTAAAATACTTTAATAAGTATATTAAGAATTAAAGAAAAAACAAATATCTAATATTAATACTGAATAAATATAAAAGTCAAAAATTAATAACTTTTTAAACATATTATAAAGAAAATAATATTATATATTTATATTTACTATTATATTCAAGTTATACAAAGTACAATAGGACATCTGGGGGAATATAGGGGGATTTATACCCCATTATAAAGAATGAAACAAATGATAAACGAAAGATTAGATGAGATAAACAAAAAGGAAAAGAATAAGGAAAATAAAAAGCAAATAAAGAAATATAGTTGTTGTAAAACAAAGGTAGATAATTGTAAGGTTATATTATTACAACAATTATTGAAAGTTGTGGCACGTGCTTTAAGCTACTTGTTACGGGAGCTGCCTCTAGGGTCACGTGGAAGTGTCTAGAGATCTCTCGAGGTGGTTTAGACTAGACTTCAAGTAGGAATTCAATAAGGTTGGTAACTGGTTGCAATTCTCGTAACTATAGTAATGAAACTAATGATTGTTCTTGAGCACGAAGCTCTACATTGTAATGAAATCCCATTCCCTTATATAGATCTTCGTACTCTGATGTTGGTTGGAGTTTCTTGGAGTCCTGGCTCCCAAGGACCTCCTTGGAGCCCTGGCTCCTGGGGACTCCACCACGTGACACTTGTCACATGGCATTCTGTTACCCATCGTAACAGCTAAGGGGAGGGAAAGAATAAATCGAATTGAAAGTTGTATATAAATGAGGAAGAGTCTTATTTACTAGAGTAAGATGATCGAAATTTTAAATTGAATCGCTTTCTAAATAGATTATTATATTCACTTCAAATTAAAAGGTGAATTGAAGAATAAAGTAATTAATTATTATACAAAAAAAAAAAGTAAACCACTTTTTCATTTCTTTATAAAATTATAAAATAAATGATTGAATTCTTCTTAATGAAAAGACAATAATCTAAAGCTTACAAGACTTCAAAACAATATATCCTTTCAAAAGTACAAATGAAAGTCGAATTCATATAAAGTTTTCAAAACTACTTTATTAAATAACTAGTTTATATTATAGTAAGCTTTTTAACTTTATAACCTTTTTCCTTATCTTTCGAATCGATTAATCAAATCTATTATTTCTAATAAATAGAACTCTTTTTTATTTAATAATTATATAAAGAAGGACATTTTGTATTATAAAATGAAGGAGAAAAAAGATCTATTAAAAGATTTCTAAAAAAAAGAAAAAGAATAAAGCAGATCTTTTTATATAAAGAAAAAGAGTTTCGAATTCGAAAAGTATATTAAACTTTTAAGCAAAATGTAATGAATACAAATATAATTAATATAAATCAAACTATTCTAAAAAAATTATAGTTATAATCAAAAATCTTTTCTCAACATATAAATCAAAGAAAATAATATAAAGGAAATAATATTCTAATTATTCTATATAAATCGAATGTAACAATAATTAATTCGATTCTATTCATCTTTTCAAAGAATATCTCATCAAATAATCAAATCATCATCTTAATCTTCATATAAATACTTTTATATAAATCTTCAAAATATTAATCTATTTTGTAAATATTAATGAGAGTAAATACCAATCAATATTTGATTCACTTAAAAAAAGAAATCTAAGTTCATATTACTAAATAAAGCATTATAAAAGTCTATATAAAATGAATACATATAATTAAAATAATCTATCTAAAAATATAATTCTTCTCTTCCTTATAAAAAAGAAAAGAATCATATGATTCGCTTAAGCACGTAATCGTATGTTCCGATAATAATATAGTATTATAGTTTGAACTATTATAATCTTATTCAAGATTCTAAAAGCTAGGACTACGAAATGTATTACTATAGTGTCGAAAGATACTAGCGCTAATACTAGTACGATTACATGATCTCTATCCCGACAATAAATAATACTTCAAATAAATCAAAAGTGTAATGTAATGAAGATCAAAGTTTGTTTATTAATAATTTTTTTTTCATATATAGAAGGGCTTGAAAAGATTTCTATTGATAGTAAATATCATTAAGATAATCTTCTAAACTTTTTATAGTTATTTATATATATAAGAAATAATAAAAAATAGAATGAACCTTTCTCGAAGAATTAAAATTAAATATAAATACTCAATTCCGGCCACCTCACTTTTAACTCACTTTTTATTATCAAAATTAACAAAAGAAACTTTTTTATTTATGAATAGAATTTATTGAGAATTTATATATATATAATTCAGACCATTTTAGACTTTTTCTGAAATATTCGATTTTTAGAATTTTTCTGAGTGGAGATCTAAAGCTTCAAAATATCAATTTTTTAATTTATATAGAGATTACATATGAATTTTAAATCAATTTTAAATTATATATACATTAAATTTTAATGAATTCTATTTATAAATAAGAAGGTTTTATTATTCTTTTTAATGATTAAAAATAGCTCAAAACAGAGGTGTCTAGAGAATCGAGTACTCGACTTATATATTATATGTAATAGTATAATAATTAATTGTATTCTTGTTCTTTCTATTGAGGATAACTATATTTAATTACTATAGTTTATATATACTTTAACTATTAGGTTATTCTATATGGCTTTCAAAAATCACATAATTAAAATAATTATCATATTATTTTTTAATTTAATTAAAAATAAAAATAAAAAGTGATATTCTATGATAACTACTCGTATCATATTAATGAATTCTATCTTAACAATTGAAATGTAAATTTTGTTTTACTTTAAAAAATCAAATAACATTAAAACTTAATTGTTATATAATATCATACTAAAAGTAATACTATAAGAAGTCTTAAGCTAGTTAGGTTTATATAGACGATCTATTTCTCACGTAATATATAACTTATATTTAATACATTCTTTAATATCAATTACGAAAGATTTGAATGAAGATTAAAAGATGTTAAAAATTCATATTAAGTCGAGTACCTTATTATCTGGCCACCCCTGTTTTAGAACACCTTTTTACACTAAAAATCACTTTTTGAATATCTTATTTATCAATAAAATTTATTGAATATTCACATGTATAAATTTCTGATTATTTTGTGTTAATTCTAAGATTTTTCGATTTTTAGGATTTTTATAAATCGATTTTTAAGGCTTCAAAATATCGATTCCTCAAATTGTATAGAAATTATATATAAACTCAAAACTTTATTAAAATCTTTTATAACTTATTATTCAGAATTATTAAAAAAAAACTATTAGTTTTTATTATGAATTTTCCATAATTAAGTTTAAGAAACCTAAGAAACCTAAGAAAACTAAAAAGAATCTAATAAATAAGTATTTGTAAGAGTACTTTCGAAATTATATAGATTATTAGTCCCTATATAATATATATCTCTATAACTACTAGTTTTTTTTTAATTTTTTAATTTTTTAAATTTTTAAATTCTTTTTAATTCTTTTTATATAGATTTAAACTTAAAAATTACAAAAAATCAATTAGTTTCTTCATATTATTTATAATCAAAAAGTTATTAAAGATTTAAAAAGGATTTTTAATTTATATATAATTCCTATATAAATTGAAATATCGATATTTTGAAGTTTTAAATCTATATTTAGAAAATTCTTAAAAATCCTTGATTTTCTGAGTGAGCTTAAAATGATCTAAATTATATGTAAAAATATTTTTAATATATTACATTATGTTTTCATAGAAATATTAATAGATTAAAAAAGTAAATTTTAATATAAAAGAGTAGCTTCAAATGAAGATGGTTAGGAAATGAGAGGTTTCAACTTAATAATAATAAAACTATTAAATCGACTTTACTACTATTTGAAACTTTTAAAAAAAAATATAAAAAATAAAAAACTCACTTTGAATTACTTCAATCTACTAATTCAAGATTACACATTGATTTATTAATAATTTTAATAACTTTAAAACTAACATATATAATATCTTAACAATAAACAAAACACATTATTTAGAAAACGACTTATTAAATTCTTTAAAAGATCCTGCTGAAATCAATTAATAAAAAGAGCAAGAAGTTTAGAAGTGAGTCTATCTAAACACTAGATTAGACTAAATGTACTTTAGTATTTTCAAATCCTAGATGAATGTGTTCTTAAACCTTTGCGCGATTTCATTTAAATTATCAATGATTAATTAAACTAGCCGCAAAACCAGATTTCCGACAATAACTATATACAAACTTGACACAAAACTTTTGAGATGCACCGACTTCAGAAACACGGGTTCTTGTTTTGATTACCAAATGTACATCCAACGACGCATTCATTACATATGCTTGAAAGGCGATTTAATATCCGTTAAGATATCAATTTCACTAGTGTGTAGAGTATGGGAACACTTGTACAGAGTTATTTTCGGGTGAATGTGAAAATGATTGGAGTTCATTTTATCTATACATTGCTTGGGAGCCCATTTTCTGAGATTAATTATCAGATTATAGGTACGTCAGAATTCTGCTTCCTTTTCTTCATCTACGGTTTTAATGCATTTTTGATTCATTTCTATGTTCCTGTAATAGCTGGATAATCTTTCCGCCCTTCGCTAAATTCTCATTGAGGATTTGAGCGTCTCAGTTCCCCTTTCTCGCTATACCCAATGAGTTGCTCAATAGAATTTTTTATCCAACCACATCACAAGGTTTGATTCCTCAATGGGAAAAAAATGCATGGTTCGCATACCTTGCTGAGAATTGTCTCGGGTTCTGATGCTGAATTTCTTATTGAGAGATTGAGGTGAGGAATGAAACCGAGTGGATTGGAATCATTCATGTCGAGATTTTGGGGATTCGTTACGCCCTCTTGTGGTTAATCGATAATTTTACATTTACCTCTATTGGATGTTCGGCAACTGAGATGATTGATCCTCAATAGAAAGACTATGTACTTTAGGAGATGAGGTCTACAAGCTTTACAATTATACTCAAAGAAAAATTTGTTGATTACCCTTTAAAACAAAATGGTAATATTGAGTCTCAATCTGTCCAGTACCCGTCGCAAACACTTCTGGCAAAAATCTCCCCCTCTCATGATAATTTAGCCATCAAAATAGAAATTTTATTTGTTCAATCCACTTCTCTTGTTTCTACTTGCTTACGCTGCCTGCTATCATCTCAATCCACCTCAATTGTTTCGGCACACTCGTATTCCGTCTTACCTTCCAGCACTGAGAGCCAATTACTGTTATAATGAAGGGAGGTGATATTCAGATATTTACCTCTCATTCCTTGAGATTTGTCCAACTTCATTTTACACTCTCAAAAGCACATCACACTTCAACATCATGTCCACGATCATAAGCACAGGACCTGATCCACCAGGAGTGAATTACATGGTCTCCGCCAATTCCATTACACTTCCAATATTCTCGATAATCTTCATAATACTTCTCATCGTTCCATTCCGTCTCCTTTACCGCGTCAGCAATATAGCCGCCTGCTCTCTCGTCATTATCAACATAATTTCTCTCATCTTTGTCGCCATGAATGCTCTCATTTGGCCTACCGACTCCCTCATATCTCGATTCTCTGGACACATAGTCTGCGATATTCAAGTACTCATCCGTCAAGCTCTCTACACAGCTATGACCTCAACAACATGTTGCATATCTTTGTATCTAGCAAGAGCGGTCACTCCGGATAATGCATGTATGCATGAAACTCGAGCGATGAAAAGACAAAGAGTAGCGAAAGATTGTGCTTTTTGTTTTACAATTCCAATTCTACAAGTAGCGCTACATTATACAATACAAACGAATAGGTTCACGGTTATGACAATTTATGGATGTGTGGATGCGACAGATTTGAGTTGGCCAAGTATTATTATCCTACATATTTGGCCACTCATTTTTGCTTGTTTAAATTGTTATTTTGCTTGTATGTATTTTAGTATCATTTACTATAAGTTATTATGATACGTGCATTCTGGGAAATAAACTAACAAAGCTTACAGTCCTAGTAATTTATCGTCTCCGCCGACATCGCACGAATTTTACCAGTACTCTCTCATCTTCCTCCGCAGGCCTCAGTCCTCGCCGCTTCTTTAAACTTTTTTCAATGTCCCTAATGCTTCTCCTGATTTATTTTCCAGTCGTCATTTATTATTTTTATCTTAATGTCAGCTGGCCTTTACATGCCTTTTCTTGGTCATATGTTCATGATCCTTCATATTGGCCATCGATCATCTTCTGGAGAATCGCAGATGCACCAAAGGGTATGCAGTATGATGCATGGAATTGGGTTGCTTTAGCCTTTTTAATTGTGGTATTCTGGGGTTGTAATAGTGAAGGAATGGAGATTTATAGAAGGGGATTGTGCAAATTGGGATTGGCGAGGTGTTGGCCAAGATTGAGGATGAGTATGCATGAAAGAAAGATGGAGAAGATGGAGAGGAATAGTAGGATTGGAATGAGTAGTGGGAGTCTAAATGGGAGTTGGGCAGGTAAATTTGATTTGATTACTAAGACTATTCATTATTTTGAGGATCAGGAGGCGAAAAGTGGGAAACAGAGCGTGACTACGACGACTACATTGGGAGATGAAGTGTAAGTTTTTGATGCCTCCTAGAGTTTATACATGACCTGTGAGTATCAAATCTAATGGAACCACAGAAAAAATACCACAAGCCGCAAGCCTTCTCATACCCCAGCCTATGACTCCGTCAACTCCAGCAACTTGGGTTGTAACTCCCAAAATACGACTGGTTACAATCCGTCGACCCACAAACCTTCCAACGCGACAACTTACGAAAGTATAAATGAGAAAGAGACTTACCTCTCATCTATATCTACTACAATCGAGAACTCAGATGTCATCTCCCCGGTTCCGAGGACGCCCAGCCCAAATAATGCTCATTCGCATTCTCTAGATCATGAGGTAGGGGTGAGAGAGGCCACAATCCCACCACCAACTTCAGCCGGGATTTAGGAAACCTTTAGAATACATTTGAATCCACTTTCTCTAGTTTCTTCATTTGTTTATGGCAAAAAAGCAAACAATCAGGATTCACATACTCATTATCCACACTCCAAATCAAACTCAGCAGTCCATCAAAGCTCAAACCTACACCCAACCATGACAAATCAGAATTCAACACATACAACGCAAATATGGGCTGCTAGCGCTCTGCAAGACACGAATGATGTACATGAAATATCAAATGGAGGGCCACCGATTACTGAAGACTCGACCAAATCTATATGTGATTATGCGGAGGAAAAGTATGATCAAGATGGCCTTCTTGCGAACCCGAAACCCGGAAGTAGAGCTTATAAGGAAAGAGAAAGACGAGAAATGGTTTCTGAGAGGCAAGAGAGAAAGACAGTAGAGGAGGAGAGAAGTCAAAAGGATGAGCAGGGAAACAAGAACAGAGGCAGATTAGGTGAGGGATTAAATGTTGAACGAACCTTTGATATTGTAGAAGAACGGAATATTGCAAGAGTGAGTAGTTCTTGAAATTTCGTGGAGAGATATTGTTCTTGAGGATCGGGGTGATGGTGGTTGCGATAAACACTTTTCTTTTACGGCTTGATTAATTACTTGCTCCTTTCTCATAATCATTCTTTAGCAAACACAAATAAAAAGGTCTCACATTCCAATGTGTAGGTTTTTCAACAATGTGTTTGAATTCTGTGAGAAAGCTTCGCACGCAATCGGGAAAAACATCACCGCAGTGTACCCTTATGAACTTCGAGGCTCAATATAAGCAAAGTTAACATTGCCAATCATAATCTTCCAGTCCCTTCATGCGCAATCCTCGTGATGAATTGTTTGGAAATCAAGACCACATCGACTATGTGCAGGTGTGTTAAGCATGATGCCGTGACAATATGTCCCCAATGTAATCCCGAATCTGGATCTAGGTTTCCTGGAATAGTGCCCACCACTTATGTTTCATGGCCTTGTGACTGACGATTTCTTTGACCGATTAAATCTAGAGCCTTGGACGTAACTATGACCACATGGTATAGGCTTTTTGGTGAATGATTGTAGGTTCAATGATCAAGTCATTTGTATGGAATACACCAGGAACCATACAACCAAGTCCAATTGTGCCGACTTATGTACCACCCTATCCAAAAGTGTATTGCTTGAATTGATAACTTGTGAAAGATTGCCATGAAATTTGCACGATGTAGCAAGAGTATCGTATTAAAGTACCAGCATTAGGTACTGAGTCCAACATCGTAACTTATAGATCCGCCGCGAAGCGTGCTTTATCATACTTGTCTTTATCATCGAAACCCATGGTCGAGAATGTATCTGGAATGTCGTGAAACTTGTCTGTCTGTTGATTGACTCGACTAATTATTTTTTATCGGGAATGACACCACCCATATTATAGTATAGGACGGAGCTGTTCAGATTGCAGCCCTGATGCTGTAGGTTTTGTAGGAGCCGTCTACCCGGTTGAATGAATTTGGCACATAATCGATATTGTACAAGCAAATAATACACCCTAACACCCTACCCCTTATGCGAGGGCCCTTTCATGGCATAAAAGGAGGGCACGGCCGTTATTTGTCTGGGAACATAACCCCAAGACCCCACACGACCCCCACATGATTTTATAAAAGGGATTTCACAAAAGGGGATTTCTTGGGTTCCTCATCCCCGCCTCCCATCCCGATCTTGCAACCGTAGAACGTCTCGTTGCCATTCCGCATGGCCTGCGACCTCGCATACAACTCTGACCACCAGGTTCTGATCTGCACACAGTGCCAGACGTGCATCGCTCCAGGGGCCCGAAGTATCGCGCAACACCTCCGAGCCGAACCCCACCGCCTGTCAGGTGATCTTTTGAAAGCTCAACTGAGCTACGCTCAATCGTTAAGTCTGAAGACGAAGCGTCAATTGCGAGAAGACAAACCTGCGCGTAGGGCTGCGCAGTTAGAGCATCTCAGAGTCTTCCACGGCTTTCAGTGTTTATCATGCGATCCATCCTTTTTAACCACTCACCTCCCACGAATGCGGGATCACATGGTGACTCATGGCCGGAAAGCGAGCGAGCACAAAGCGACCCCGCTATGGCAGGCATGCTTACTCCAAACGTACTTTACTGCACCGAGGTATGTTGATTACTTTGTGGTTGTTGCAAATCCTGGGCCCCATGGTGGAAATGGCGATGTGATCCCTTTAACCCGGTCGGAGAAGGATTCCATTGATCAGATTGAGCAAGATGCGTTGAATGTCAAAAAGGATCTCTTCAAGGCAGCTGGCGTCGTTCGGGACATTAAGGAATCTCGCTCCGAGAGGGTACCGTGGTTGCACGACGTCACCAAGTTCCCTTTTCACTTAGTTCATTTAAAAGACGAGGAGATTTGGGCTTCGTATAAGCTCCCATCGAAGAAGGAATTGGATGGAGATTACCTTGAAGCGGATGATCCTCAACTTGTTCGCATCCTCCATGCCGCCGAAGCTATGATGCGAGATGCCTATCAATTGTGCTCTGATACATCCCCCGATCGTAAGATGACTCAGCAGCGAGCTAACATCCTCAATGAATTTTATTCCGGAGCGAGTGGCAAGGCGGATGGGTTCCGATATCACAAGAATGCTTCGACGTTGGTCAAATACTTCCTGATCGGGAAACAACTCTTGGTATATTATTATCGAGTGGTGTATTCGGAGGATGGCTTTTTCACCGCCACGGAATCGGATCAATCATTACCACGTGATATTATCGAACCGACCTCAACCCAAATTCGTGCGATGGATGCTATCATGGAAGCCTTGAATATGGAAGATCCCGAAGAATCTGAATTAGCTTTGAAGCATGCTATTCGACGATTATATCTAGCCTTGATTTGTCACTCGATTGGAAGTGCACCGTTTAAATCACCGGTCTTGAGTTTTTGTGCTATGAAGAGTCGCATGATTTATGGGCGGGGATTGTGGGAAGAGCCAGGAAATTTTAATAGTTACCTGTCGGCTCTCACGTGGACGGCGCAACTGATCCTCTTTGGTTTTGTCTGTTTTCAAGAGCAAGAGGACGAAGATCAAATTCCCATTCTCCTCACCACGCTCTGCAAGAAGTTCTTTCAACAATTAGCCGAGACCCCCTTCGGTTACATTCTTCAGTGGCGTTTATATTTATTCAAGGTGAGTAAGGCTTCCATTGCTAAACACCAAGCTCGATGGTCTTTGGATCGACAGATTGTGGGGTATCGCGGGGTAGAAATATCCATGGAACAGATTTCGAACGTGGTGCTTTCGGAATTTCAACAAGCTCACTCTCTCCTGTACGATGAATTGTTATTTGGCATGCAAGATTTAATTTCGATGGTTTCGTGGCGGATGAAGGATGATCTGGATTCCGAGGATTTTGGGGATTCTTGGCTCTCCCACTCACACAATTCGGAATTTTTAGAAGGGGCAGATCTGAGGCTTTTTCGATACATCAAGACGAACACTAAATTGCACACCACTTTCTTCAAGGTTGATCAAGAGGGAGGGTTAATCTTGTGTTCGAAAGCTATGAAGATATATGAAGTGCAAGCTCAGGAATTCTTAAAGCGACTCTTGATCCTCTGTCACATTGCTCCTGGTCCACCTCTGCGAGAGCCCGAATTGCTTTCTATCACGTGGCGGAATATGGAACGACAGCGACATATTTATATTTGGGAAAAGTTGGTGATGATCTATACCCAATATCACAAAGGACAACAACAATCTGGTGCATACAAGAATAATATTCGATTTCTCCCGAAAGCTATTGGGAATTTATTACTTACTTATATTGCATATGTTATTCCCCTTCGACAAATCTTTCTTCGACAAGAAAATCCGACCGCTTTGATATCCCCGTACCTCTGGTCCAATCTTCAAGGGACTGTGTGGGTAGATGGAGTTATTTCGACTTGCTTACGGAAAGCATGTAAACGTGCTCAGGTTTCGATACTACACACTTCCAATTGGCGACAATTTGCTGCTTCCATCACGAAAGAGAAGTTTACTACGAGAGAACAAGCCAACTTTGATCTGGACCATACTCCTGGTGAATTTGTTGAAGATGAATCCGATTTGAGGGCGTTGGCCGAATTTAGCAATCACAGCTTTCAAACCTTCAATGTAGCTTACGCTGGAACGACCAATCTCACCATGAATACTATGTTGCATCGAGGCTTTCGGGCTTCGGCTAGTTGGCATTCCTTCTTTCGATTCGATTTCGTTCTGCAAGGGAAGCGAGCCTCGAGTCCATCGGATGCTCTAGTGTTGCGAGCCGCGAAACGAAGTCGATTTCGTCAGAGGCAAGGGTACTCGGAAGAGGATTTACTTCAAGTGGCTCAAAGATTATTCCCTTCTGTCACTTTTCAATTTCGTCAACCTGGTCAACGTCGTGGGGTGTTGACTACTTTTGGAACTACCTTTCACGAACAAGTCATCTTGATCTTGGGAACCGGCTCCGGCAAGACCTTAATTCCTATGCTCAGCGCTAGCCTTGCGGACGCTAGCACCACCATCATGATCATTCCTATGGTGGCCTTGCGGATTGACATGATCAAACGTTTTAATGCAGTTGGGATTCCCTCGGTCGTGTGGTCGGTGGAGTGTCGGGAAACCCCTCCATTGGTGATCGTATCGGCTGAAGCGGTTTGCAACGATAGCTTTTTGGAATACGCTCAAGGGCTAGTCTTTCGACAGAAATTGGATCGCATCATCATGGATGAGTGTCACCTTACCATTACTACGAGTGAGTATCGCTCTTGCATGACGCAAGTTGGGTGGTTCATTCGACAAATTCGTACTCAATCCATTTGGCTATCTGCCACCTTGCCTCCGGTGATGGAAGAATTATTCATCGAACAGAACAAATTGGTTTGCCCTCAAATCATTCGAGAGTCGACCAATCGATCTAACCTTCAATATCTTGTTAGTTATGGAGATGGAGTTGATTCTTTGATGGAGAAAGCGAGAGAGTTAATTGA